GCTCGAAGAAAGTTTGTTACTCTACTTCAGCGGGGAGTGGAGTATCTGTAGGTCGGTGCGTAGCCGAGAAGTTCGTGGCAATCTCGATTACGGTACCGCAGCACAGTTCTGATGGCTGCTTCGTTGGGATAATGGTAGTTGGCTTGCAAAGCTTCGATTGCTGCAAAGAGGAGAAGAAGAAAAGATATTAAGTACAGAATATAGAAGGAAAGTAATTTGACCGAGCAATTAACACGGCTTACATGTTGAACCGAAGTTCTTGCTGATATACCAGCCCGGCACGTCGGCTGTTTAATAATTACCGGACACCCAGAAAAAATCATCGTCGTGCATGTCTTTATCTGGGGTACCAGTCACGATCTTTTCCTTGCCCGGCCTAATCTTTAAATAGTAGTTGAGTCCATCGCCGGTATGCCCGGGGGTATACTGGCGAAGTATCTCGGCTAATCCTAGGCTGGTGCCTAGCTGGTTGTTTAGCTCGGCTATCCCGTTAATTATCCCATAGGTGTTGGTTGAGACTTGGGTTGGTGCTAGCTCGATGCGCCTCAGGAACTCACACATTAAAGGGTTGACCGGGAAGCGAAGGCCGCCTTCGATAATGGAAAGTACGGTGAAAGGGCACTGGTCTAGTCTGCCCCAAAGGGTTGTGTCCTCGGCACCGAGCTCTAGATGTACGTCGGCGGGGACACCGAGCTAGTGCGACCGGCATGTCAACTAGGAAGCGGTAGCACCCCATGTGTAGCCGGCTGGTTTTAGCACGACTGTGTTGGTTTGTCAAAAACTCTCGTTTGACGGCTGCTCAGTCTTTGAGAGGCTTAGTGTTAGTGCGTGGTCCCCGTGGACTCTGCAGGAAAATAAGGGTAAGTGTAAGCGGGAACGCGGTCGCGCAAAACGAGCTTGACTTTAGATCGGTCAGATGGAGTGCCAGACCACCTCGGTCACGAAGGTAAATCCAGAAGCTCGGCCGTTCAAGCGGACCAGATGTTAGCCCGGTCGAGCGGTCAAGTCCTCTGCCTACCTCGGTTCCTACAGAAGTTTTTGCAAACTCGCAATTTGCTCTGTTTAGGTGTTTTTTGGGATCAAAAGAAGACCTGGAGCCCAGTCCTCTCCAGATCTTCGTGTGTTCATCACTGAAGTTGAAGAACAATAGAGAGAGCAGGGGCAGAAGAGGTTTTTGGGGGGTTATATCCTAAAACCAATGGTTTTTGTGCCCTAGAATGTGAAATACGAAATCAAAAAATAGTAAAAAGACTCGTAGAACTTACCAGAAGAAGGCAAGAGTCGTGTCCTCGAAAGCAAGAATGGTGCTTGGTAGTAGAGGGCAACAATGGTGTTTGATCATCTGGAACAAAAGAGAGGCAGTAAGAAGAAAATGTGAAGGGGAAATGGCGTATTTATAGGCGAAAAGAACTGCCAAAATTTCGAATGTGAAGGGACGTCTGGGTTGGCTGCTTGAGGCCAATAAATGGCCGACGCGTGTTCATAATGGCGACAGCGTCAGTATTGAAGAGACAGGAGGGCGAGTTGAGACGTCAACCGAGCAAATCAAGAAATCGAGCTTAGGGATTAGCGCGGTTAACGTTTTGCGAACTAAGAACCGAGGTCGGATCTACCCCACTCGGATCATGTAATCCCAGTCACGCTTGCGTGGATGGAATTAAGGGGCAATTGAGAGGGAGATTTATAATCTGACTTTGGGCCGTGGAAGAAGCCAGACTGGATAGGGCCGAGCTAATTTGGGCCTGTTCCAAGTGGGTTTCACTCGGTCGTGGCTCAGGCCCCCTGTTTAGGTTGAGCTAACTGGGGCTTCCCTGGAGTTGATCTGGCTCGGTCGAAGCCCAGGCCCGAGGTCCAGGTCCCATGTTTGGATTGAGCTTACTTGGCCGAGATGACCGCCTGCGAACCCGGGTTCCATGGGTCGCATGCATAGCTCGACGGGAAATGTCTTCTGAGCACCGGCCGACTTGTCGTGAACTCGGCTCTGCCGGAATGCTACCGAGCTCGGCCGTTATGGAGCTCGGCGAGTGGAGCACTCGAGCACGTTACACAGCACGGTCGTGGAAGGCCGAGGTAATGCCGCCGGGCTGCCGAGTTCCCGCTAATGTTGTCTGACGGTTTGGTTAGGTGGTGTTCGCTGGATTTGTGCTGACAGATGGGAGAGCAGCTGCATGTGTCGAGACACTAATGGGTGCGAAGTTGAGCGCGGAAAACATATAAGCATGACTGCGCCCCCCATGCTAGGGATGGAACATCATTCGGTAAAACACTCATTGTGATATATCTCTCTCTTCTGCTCTCTCCCTGAGCGTGTGCTAACTTGACCGTCAGAGGGATTTTCCGGCCACACACAGCCGGGTAGCTTACCGCCGTTGTGCTCGCAGGTCGATCGGATAGACAAGGAGCTTGGACAAAAGGAGTACAGACAGCGACGAGTATTTCCTCCCCGTACAATTGGGTACTCTCAGAGCACGATCATGTGGTGCTCCATTGTATTTTGATTGGTGGAGAAGTGGGGTATTATGATTTCATATTGTGTGATTGAGGAACATGAGAGGGCATGATGAATGATGATTAATAAAGGAGTATGAACACGTGATTCTCCGGGAGTACCTAATAATTTTCCTTGAAGGATGCGGATGAGAGAGTGGGTTGGGAAAGAAGATTATGCTGTTAGATTGGGATAATTAGGTATTTTTATTTTAGAGTGTGAGGCTAATAAGGTAATTGTAAATTTTCTGTTAATTCAAGTTACAAATTAGACACTTACAGGGATTGTAGCGTACTTTATGCAAGGTAGAGGGGAGATCTGTATTAAATTTAAACTTCAAGAGGTGTTAATATAATTTAGAAGAAATATCACATTAGGGGAATGTTAAAAAAATAATTAAAAATCAATAAGAAACTTTATAAATAATAATAGAAATTAAATTTGTAAATCTTTTCATGAATTTGTATATATATATATATTTTCTGACATTACTGGGATGTAATAATCCCTATAATTTATCCTTTTACCAAGGTTGCTTTAATAGTCTACTGCCCATTTCTTTTATTTTTTTCACAAGAAGTAGGGATGTAATCGGTTCGGAACGATCTGTGTTTAGATGAAATTTATACCAAACTAATAATGTTGATTCTATTATATTGAGAACCGATACAGACCAATTCCTAAACCACACCAAACTGCACCAATTCAAATGGTTCGGCTCAGTACAGTTTTCGATTTATGACCTTTCAAATTTGATTTACTTCTTAAATTTGTGGTATAGTAAATGATTTATATAAAAATATTGAATTAGCCATTTATATATTACTTCAATATCCAATCCAACCATTCACAAAAATACAAACAAAAGAATTAATAAATCGTAAGTGTTTAAGCTTTTATTGAAGTAGAATTAGAAATAAAATATAATCTAAAAACCAAAGTCTTGACACCAAAGTTTAAAATCATCATCGCATAAGACTAAATCAAGAGTCTATCAAATAGAGTAAAACAAAAAATTGAAAATGACATAAACATCTAATATAACTATATAGGTATAATAGTAGCAAAATTTAACTCAAGCACATATGAGTGGCAAACTAATAACTTATCACATTGCCAATATTTATTGTCAAACTTAAAATATTTAAGAAAAAATAAACAATTATGTGAATCAACTAAACTTTGTACTCATTCACCCAAAAAACTTTGTACTCAACCAGTTTCATTATATATTTAATATATATTATTCTTAATATGCAAAACTTTCAGTCTGTTTCGGTTTAATTTGGTGCATAAGGTGCCTAAACCGGTACTGAATCAAAAATTGCAAAAAAATTAATTTTAAAAACTGCACAGACCAATTCATATTAAAAAATTGACCAAATATAGTCGGTTTGGTTCGGTTCAATCGGTTTTGTCAGTTTTTTCTATTTTTCTTACATCATTAACAAGAAGTAACATCAAAATGCCATATGTGAATCTCATTATGAAAGGAAAAGAGAGAGAAGCTCTAGTTACAATTGATTTTTTTTTTACCTCAGTGAATTTCATTTAGAAATTTTCATTTTCTTAAAAAATATATATTTCAGATACTTCAATACTGAAAATAATAAGAATAATAAATAATTGACATAACGATTGGTTCTACAATACTTTTATATTATGAGTTTAGACCACCATTTCATCTGCTTATCTGCAAGACCACCATTTTTTTTTTTTGGGTGCTTTGTGTTGCTCTCATTTTGCTCTTATTCATAGATCAAACAGATACAAGGACAGAATATGTCAGTTAATGCCTAGTTTTACAAGCTCAAATATTGGGAAACCATAAACAAAAACATCAATTATGCACAAAAAAAAAAAAAAAAAAAAAAAATTTTTTTTGAAAAAATTGAACTATTTTTTGTGTAAAACTAAAAATTTTGTTTCTATAAAGGAACATGATGATGGAATATTGATGTGCAAAACTGAAAATAAACAAATAAATAAATTTAAAAATGAACATTGACAACAACTGTTTTATACTACCTCACATTCTACATCAATCTAGCATGTAAATTTTGTGATTCAACACTAAATTTTGTAAATGTACGTACAGGCTGAATTCCTCCCAAAAACACTAAAAATTATAAAGTGCATAGGAGAAAAATTGGTCACTTCAGTTGTGTAATTGCAGTTTACATTCCTAAAACAACATAGCCAAATCTACTTGCTTGCTAAATCTTTAAAGGATGCATTACTATGAGCAAGAGCAAAATGGATATGGTGTGGGGTCGAATATAGGGATTTGAATGAAAACGGTAATCATACTTCAATTTGTATAAATGCATATGTTTATGTGCACATATATTATTATGTGTTTTCCTATTTCCAAGGTCAATTAAAAAGGGTAAGGACATTCATACCCGGTGTTTGAAGAAGTGTTGTGCTGCTAGTCTGGAGGTACAGAAACTTTTGAGATTCTTCAGAGATCCAAGTTCTAGAGTCCTTAGTTTAGGGAACAAGATGATATTTTCTTTGGCTTCTGCATTTGCTTTTTCTTTCCCTTTCTCTGTTAATATCTCTTCCACCATTGGACAGTATTGTACAGAGAGTTCTGTTAAATTCTGCAATCGTGGGAGCATATTGGATAGAATCACATTCACCAGTTTGTCACATCCCTCGATCCTCACTTCTCTTAGTTGACAAAAGGACCCTGTTGGGAGTAATTTCTTGTCCCACACATCTATTATGTTTGGCAACCAACCAATGGACAATACCCTCAATTCGGGGCATGCAATCTGCAATGTTCATTACATAATTGTTAAATAATCCTTCTGAAACATCTATTCCTAGGTCAACATTATCCAATAACATTTACTGCAACACAATAAAAGTAGGAATCACAAAATATTCAAATAAGATGCAATCCAAAAATTCTAAGAAACACTCTTCATTCGAATTATATGTTACAACATTAAATATATAAACACACAAACTACACAGAATGAAGCCAGGGAGACATTGCCTTCATTCTATGCAATTCCACTATGATTGTACACTCGCCATAGAGAATAACAAATAGCCAGTGACTATATTGAAACTCAAAATAGTCCTATGCAATTGAATCGAAAAAAGGACCCTTCTTAGATGCTTGAAAAATAATATTTCTTAAAGAGTTGGGACCTAGTCATTCTACTGTCATTGGCTATCAACTCCTCTGAAGAACCAGTGACTAAGGGTGTCAACTCCGAAGAAGAATGGCGATCAACTTCACCATGCTAACTCGCAGAATCAATTGATGAAATAATAATGAAAAAGAAAAATGTTAAATCAGCTGCATTTTTATACAAATTTCCTTACTGCATACTTGTAAATTAATTATTACAGTAAGTCGTACCATTTTGTATAGGGCAGATTACACTAATGATTCCTGTAATTTAGAACTTGTGTCACTTTGGTCCATGATTTTTCAATTGTAATATATTTGACTCTAAATTTTGAATCTTGTTACAAACAAGAACAATCAAAGATGTTTCATTTGCAAACGGTCAATTTCAAGAACAAAGTCATCATACAACTTATTTTGTGCTGGTTAACTTGTGTGTTGTTTGAAATGTAATGACATTTTTTTTAATGAATAATGTTGGAACTTTCTTGGTTATAAAATTATGTTTGGTTTGGTTTTCATAATCTATTTTCAATAAACAAAATTCTAAGAAATTAAAGTTAAATTGGTGAAAAAAAATAAAAACACATCATTTTTATATATTTTTATCTTTTTAGATGGTAGAAATAATTTTTTAAAATAATTTTTTTTGATATTTATTTTCGTTAAATTAGTTTCTATTTTTTAAAAAGTCAAACATGGCGACAACTTTGATGTCGTTATTAAACCAATCCATTAAATCAAAAAATTCACAACTAAAAATATTTCATATATTAAACATATTGACTACACGTTAAAAACCAAATAACCTTTTATTACATGATAACCACACAAAAATGTCTATTAACATCAAATACAACGATCTATTACATGATAACCATCTAAAAAATAAACAAAAACAACCACCTATTACATGATCATTATCCAAACACGTATTAAAAATTAATTTGGTAAAAAAATAAAAAATAAATAAATATGTAAAAAAATAATCATTTTTATATAATTTTATCTTTGGTGTGTAGAAATAATTTTTAAAATTTCAAAAAGAATTTTTTGACATATATTTTTGCCAAACTATCTTATATTTTATTAAATTGACGACTTTGCCCTTGAAATGGAACAACAATGTCTTTATTTGTCATTTTTTGGAACAAGATTCAAAATTTAAGATCAAATGTATCACAATTGAAAGGTCAGAGATCAAAATGACACAAGTCTCAAACTACAAGGATCATTAGTCTAATTCACCCTTTTGTATAATAATTCTACACAATTTTTCTAGGGAAAATTACAAAAACAAACTCTAAGGTTTGACCTTTGTAATAAAATAAATCGTAAAATTTTAATTTTGTTAATTTAAATCCCATTCTTTTGATTTATTTTCAATATAAAACATATTTTTATTTTCGTTACGAAAAATTGATGGAAAAATGATATTTTAATTATTAAATTTAATTAAAAAAAATATTTTAAACATTTTATGAGCACGTATATTTACAACAGCTTTGAATAGTGCATGCAAATAGTGTTATAAAGCAAACAAAATCCAAAACGACGGTAATTTACAACTGATGAAGGAACAAATTGGTATCTACATTTAACGTTGTTATATCGGCCCAAACCAAAAAGCAAAATATTTCCAGTTGTAAACTTCTAATAGAGTCCAAGTCAATGTTAAAAAAAGGTACAATGTTGAAAATAATTTTAGGTAATTCATATATATAATATATATATTAATAGAAAAAAGAAAGGCACATATTGTGCGCCATTCAAATGATGAGAGCTTTTTTTATCAGATCAGATCTCTTGGTTTGGAGTCTCATTCTGCTCTCTACATCAATTGGAACTCTGGTCTAATTGAACTCACTTTCCTTTATTTGGATTTGGTTTCAATTCATATATATACATACATAGTTCAAATTCAAACTCAAAAAACTAAATTAGATTGGAATTCTATTCTTAATATTATTTTCTCAAGTACTTTGTTTTTTATTTTATTTTTTTGATTAAAAGCGTTAGGAAATTAGTACCTGATGGTTGAACAAGGTTTGTGTTTCGGATCTTGCAGTCCTGCAAAAAGTTTCAAGGTTCTGTAAACTGTCAAGTCTCACAGTCCTCAGTCGAGGGAATATGATGACATCATCATTTCTTTTCTTTTCTTGGGCCATTTCTTTCTCTTTTGCGTTCTCTAAGAGTTTTCTCAGATTCTGTAGCCTTGGGAGCATATTAGATTGAACAGCATTCATCCGTTTCTCAAAACATTTGACTTTATGTTTGGAGGGAAATTGATTGCCCAAAATCTCAGTTATGTTAGGCACCCCAGAAATAAGCAATTCCTCCAAGGCTGGGAAAGCGACCTGTACAAGGCATTTCCTCCGTGAAAAAATGGTCTACTTAAGTAAACATTCTTCAACCACAAACCTTATGACAAATATTCAAAAAAAAGTTTGAGTGACATACAAGATGTAATAATTTATTTTTTACTTTTACTTTGAATTACACACATATCGCGCCAGTCAATATATATAATTAAGAAAAAAAATTTAATACAATCAATGCAATAATTTCACAATTGTTAGATATGTAATGGAGAGTAACACAATGAAATTTCTTACAAATTTTTAATATTCAGAATTACCCTTATGCAAAACTAAAAAAATTCTATCCATAAAGGAGCATGATGATGGAACATTTCCGTACAAAAATGAAAATTTTCTCAATTGTAAAACTTAAAAAAATAACAATGTTCACAGTTTTAAAACTGAAAAAAAAAAGAGCTGATTATATTGTCAATTTTAAAACTGAACAAAAAACTTTAAATTTTCTTAGTTTTACTAGATAGTTTCACAAAGTGAGAAATTGTCTAATGTCATATAGCTAAAAAAAACAATATTTTATTTTTATAAAATTTTATATTCAATATTATTTTTAAGTAATTTCAAAATAAAATTTTTAATCATTGTTTAAAATAGTGCATATCACGGGTTTTACGCTAATTAAAACATAAATGAAAATGTGTGTTAAATATTAACTAGCATAATACTCGTGCTATACATGAATTTAAATAAATAATCAAAATTAATTTAAAAATATTAAAAACTTTGTTTAAAAAAAAAAGTCATAATTAAAGAAAAATACATATGTTGTCATGATTATATTTATGATAAAATATAAATACATTTCATCACATGCGATCTGTAACTTTAGTTTACTTATGTCATTGTCAAAGTTCGTTGAATGATTTATTAAAACGCATTTGTCAATTAACCAATTATCTCATTATTCATTTTGTAAAATTCAATAATTTAAATTATAAATTATAAATCAAATTGGAGAATGAAATAGAAAAGACAAGTGAAGTACCAGATTGTATCTTCAAAACAACTTTGAAATAAGACTCGTACCCTTAACCTCTTGATTTTCCAACACTGTTAGACCTCATTTGGAAATATATTATATTAGTAATTTTTTGACTTTTTATGAAAAGATATGTAAAAAAGTAGAGAGAATAATGTGACAATTTATAATGATTTTTTGACTTTTTGACTAAAACTAAAGATGGCCAAATAAGGCCTTAGTTTCAACTGACCACCTTCAACATTTGACTAGCACTAAAGTCATTCTTTTACTTTGATCCTGACAATATAAAATATTTTTAATTTTTAGTTTATAATATTTTTTAAATATTTTATATTAAAGCAATTAATAAACTAATATATTAAATAAATAAAGCATATTGAATTTGTGTATAAAACAACTAGCATGACAGCCATGCTATGCACAGTCTTTAATAAATACACAAAAAATAATTTAAAATTAAATAGTAAAAATATTAAATATAATAATGGTTTTGAATAAAGTAATTCTATTATTTTTTTCAAGTCTACATTTCTGATTTTTATTATTTTTTGTTTTTCTTTCATTAATGGTGTCACAGATTGGCCATATTCAATCCCTTTTTTAGTTACTCTCACCCATCCGCCCTTCAACTTCTCCTACCCGATCAAACTATTACTCAACTACCTACCTTTACCTTTGTTATCCTAACTTACTCAATACCCCTTTGTAAAAATATTATATTTGATTATAAATCTTATTCTTACTACTAAAATTAGTATATTTAGGCTTTATTTGGAAAATTATATATATTTAACTAAAAAATCAAAGAGTCACTAAAAAAAGTCAACATTTTTTTACTTTTTTACACATTTTGTTTCCTTCTAGAAAGTCACTAAAAAATCGAGTAAATTGATGATAAATCCAAATTAACCTAAAAAGTTATATTTTTTTTCTTTTACTTTTTTACACATTTTTTTTTCTTCTACTAAGTTTCGAATTTAAAATTGTAATTGAATAAGAACTTTAATTTTTTTTTATGTGTCCACGTTTTCCCATGGCTAAGGTTAATAAAATAAATTAAGAAAATCAAACCTGGTGATTGAATAAGAGTTGTGCTTCAGATTTAAATCTTGTAGAAACTTTTAAGACTCACCAAGTCAAGGTTGGGAAAATTACAATTTTGGGCATAATTTAGGTAAATATAATCATATTAATATGCATATGTAATAAAGAAAAAAATTACATATAATTTAGAATTCATACATATTTTTTCAACATATATTGTAATTTCCTTAAATATTGTAGCATATCTACTCATTTTACTACCTTCTTATTCTATTTTCTATTTGGATGGAATTTGAATACTCAATTCAGTTTCAAAGTTAACTTTGCAGTTGGATAGGAATTATAATTTTATTTTCATTTGGAAAATAATATACAAGTCCACTTTTTAAACTCATTTTCTAGACTCAATGATATGTAAGGGATATGATTGGTTGATGACTGAAAAAATATGAGAGAGAGTGTTACCTTAGATATTCGAATTAATTGTCACATCATTGAGCTTGAAAATTGGATTTAATTTTTTGACTTATATAACAATGCCCTTTGCGTTTTGTATTTTCTTTCCCATGGTCATGGTTAAGAGCATCACCAACACTATTAGGTATCTATTCAAAAATTATAATAAAATATATATTTATTTTTCCTATCTACTTTTTTATATTTCAACTCCAACACTACTATTTATTTTACTACTCATCCTAACACTACTTAATTTAAAAAATGCCACATCATCTTTAAAGATAAAAGGGAAATAATCATAAAGGTCAAGAACATTGTGCCTAGCATTGGAAGGCTAACTACATTTAACTATTGAATTTTAGTTGAGACAAATGCCTAACCATATACCTAATTCGGGGGAATTGACAAAAGTAATTTATATTAGGTACTTTAACTATAAGGCATCATATGCCGACTGCATTAGAGATATGCTCTAATAAAATCAATTAGAAAACCGTACCTAGTGGTTGAACAAAGGTTGTGCTTTTGATCTTGTAGGCCAACTGTAAAAACTTTTAAGTTTCGTTAAATTTTGAAGACAGAGAGTTGTTAGTTGAGTGAACACAATAATATCATCACTGGTGCGTCCTTTTTCATTTTCTTGTTCCCAGACTATCACTTTCATATTTGGACAACCATATACATTGAGTTTTTCCAGATTCTGCAGTTGTGGGTGCATATTGGACCAAACAACATTCAGTTTCTCACAATTATTAACCTCTATCTCTTTCAGTTGGCAGAAGGATTTTGATTCATTTTCTAGGACTGTGAGTAATTGCTTGTCCCATATCTCTGTTATGTTAGGCACTTTAGTAATTTTCAAATTCTCCAAGACTGGGAAAGCAACCTGCAAAGTTGGTTCAAAACACATTCTGGTAACTGACTCTTAAAAAATGGTAACCTCCCCCAAGTGGGGTTAGCAACTGCTATACAATAAATGTATTAATTAGCTTTTGTAACCGGGGCCATGTGCAGATAGATGATGAGCAGTAGGCAAGTAAATTGATTCATAGTTACACATTTTCGTATCCATCTAAAATATTGAGCAGTTATAATTTAATCACACTTTCCTTCAACTAGTAAACCTCCCCCTCCCCCTTTTTATTTTATTTTATTTTATTTTTGTAAAATCCGTTTCACATTATTTCACATTTCATCGTCAGTTTTTTCATTTGACTTTGATAATCTATGTTCTATGATCCTATAAAAAGGAACGGCTTCAGTTGAAATTAGAACTAGACTAGACTATTAAAATCTGACTAGTAAAAGTTTATGAAAAGATTTAACTAAACTAAGATTTAAAATAATGGGCCAAGACATTTCATAAACTCTTACCGGTAAGAGACTGTAATCGTTGGGCTCAAATGAACTCTTAACTAGAGAGACAAGCCGAATCCCTTATAAAACACACCCTTTGAAGCTTATATGAAATACAAATTGCCCCATTTGATTTTAGAAATTACATATTTTCCTATCAAATTTCCAATCATATAACAAATAACTCATTTTATTAATAAATCATGAAATCAATTAATATTTTTTTAATAATCTCATAAATATATTTTAATTAACAATTCAAGTAATTTTATTGTTATATAAGAAAGTAGTTAGAAATTTTATTTTTTCTGTTAATTCTCTTAAACAAAAAATTTCTAGCAATGGGATATTTATAATTTTTAGAACCATAGGAAGCAATTTATATTTTAAGGCCACGTTTGTTTGGCGGATTGGGTTGAATGAGATTGTTAGTGAGAGAATAGTTAGTGAAGAGATTGTTTATGTAGGGATTGTTAGTGAGGGGATTAAGTAAAAATATGTTTGTTTTGATGATTAATGATGTGATTGTTTAATTATTTTTATATAAAATAAATAAATAAATTATTTTTATATTAAAAAAACCTAAAAAAAATATTAAAACAAACAGGTGCACTTGGTACCAAAAAATAAAGAATAAAATTTTTAGATAAAATAGACTCAATCCTTTCAATATTTTTCTAATCCCACCCAAAACCCAACCAAACTAAGTCCCTTGGACTATCAATCCGCCCTCTCATTTCACGACCAAACATGTTGTAGGTGGGACTCACAACCATAATAGTCCAATTCGGTCACTTAAGCCGCGAAACAAACATAGCCTAAGCAAATATCAAGGATTGTATTTATAATCTTTTAAATAGAGAAAATCATATGATAAGTGTAAGTATTTGGCCTATGGAAAAGAAAAAAGAGTAATGTTAAGGTTCATAAAAAAAAAAAATCATGAAATGCTTTATGAAGATTTTTTATCTTTGAATTACACATACAATAAAATACCACACGCTAATCAAATAATGAAAAAATTTCATACTCATTTCATGATATTTTTTTCATGATTCCTAATATTACTAAAGAGAAAAATAAAAATTAATCATCACGTGCCTTTGCGAATAAGGTTTTATTGTTTCGCTTTTCAACTCATTTAAGGCAATTGCAATTCTATTTGACCCTCAGTATGGTGTGAAAGGAATAATTTGCACTGTTATGGGACTTTTGTAGAACTTTTATCCATCGATATAGAAAGCCATAGTCGCAAGATTAATAAGCCCAAGTATGTCGAGGAATAAATTAAAAATGATCTATAGATCTCTCATAAAAAGGTAGGTCTCACATTAGGTGGATCTCTCATGTTCAAGGATGAATCTAGAATTATCAATATGAGAGTGCGAAAATTTATTTAGAGGTATAAAATCTTATTATTTAATTATTTTAAATTTTTTAACATAAGATATGATATTTTTCAATTTTTTGAGAGGGCGATCGCCTCCCTTTACACCCCCTTAGATCCATCCTTGGGAGCACACTTAACCTCTTCATTTTCCAACACTGTTAGGTATTTATCTATTCAAAAATTATAATAAAATATATATTTATTTTTCCTATCTACATTTTTATATTTCAACTCCAACTCTACTGTATATTTTAACTACTCATCCTAACACTATTTAATTTAAAAAATGCCACATCATCATTAAAGATAAAGGGAAATAATCATAAAGGTCAAGAACATTGTGCCTAGCATTTGAAGGCTAACTACATTTAACTATTGAATTTTAGTTGAGACAAAATGCCTAACCATATACCTAGTTCGTTGGAATTGACAAAAGTAAGTTACATTAGGCATTTTAACTAAAATGCATCATATGCCAAGTGCATTAGAGATATGCTCTAATAAAATCAATTAGAAAATCGTACCTGGTGGTTGAACAAAGGTTGTGCTTCCGATTTTGTAGGCCAACTGTAAAAACTTTTAAGTTTCGTTAAATTTTGAAGACAGAGAGTTGTTAGTCGAGTGAACAGAATGATATCATCATTGGTGGGTCCTTTTTCATTTTCTTGTTCCCAAACTATCACTTCCATATTTGGACAACCATATACATTGAGTTTTTCCAGACTCTGCAGTTGTGGGACCATATTGGACCAAACAACATTCACCATTTTCTCACAATTATTAACCTCCATCTCTTTCAGTTGGCAAAAGGATTTTGATTCATTTTCTAGGACTATGAGTAATTGCTTGTCCCATATCTCTGTTATGTTAGGCACTTTAGTAATTTTCAAATTCTCCAAGACTGGGAAAGCAACCTGCAAAGTTTGTTCAAAACACATTTTGGTAAGTGACTCTTAAAAAATAGTACCCTCCCCCAAGTGGGGTTAGGAACTGCTATACAATGAATGTATTAATTAGCTTTTGTAATCGGGTCCATGTGCAGGTAGATGATATGGAATAGGCAAGTAAATTGATTCATAGTTACACATTTTCATATCCATCTAAAATATTGAGTAGTTATAATTTAAACACAATTTCCTTCAACTAGTAATCCCACCCCAGCACCACCCCTTTTTTTTCTTTTTTAAATCCTTTTCACATTATTTTCCCATTTCATCGTGAGTTTTTCCATTTGACTCGGATAATATATGTTACATAATCCTATAAAAAGGAATGGCTACTCTTCACATGAAATTTCAATTAGACTAGACAGTTAAAATCTCTTACTAGTAAGAGTTTATGAAAAGATTTAACTATGAGTGAAAATCATCGGCCAAGGCATTTCATAAACTCTAACCGGTAAAAGACTGTAACGGTCAGGCCCAATTAAACTTTTTACTAGAGATGAACCAAATCCCGTATAAAACACACTTTGAAGTTTATTTGAAATACAAATTTTTCCATGTTATTTTAGAAATTACATCTTTTCCTATCAAATTTCCAATCATATAACAAATAACTCATTTTATTAATAAATCATGAAATCAATTATTATTTTTTAATAATCTCATAAATATATTTTAATTAATAATTCAAATAATTTTATTGTTATATAAGAGAGTAGTTAGAAATTTTATTTTTTCTGTTAATTCTCTTAAACAAAAAATTTCTAACAATGGGGTATTTGTAATTTTTAGAACCATAGAGAGGAATTTATATTTTAAGGCCACGTTTATTTGGCGGATTAGGTTGGATGAGATTGTTAATGAGAGGATGGTTAGTGAACAGATTATATAGCGATTCTGTTTTGGACTCATCTCATTTGATGTTTGGATCCGGGTTTCACTGTCATAGATAGTTATCCATGTCTTGTTTCGCCTTATTCCTCTTGAGTTTAGCTTTTGGGATGTGTTAGTTGCATTTGGAACAGGTTGGTACCTTGTTTTTCGAAAGCCTTATTGCCTAGAATTTTGCTTCTACACTTGAATGTCACTTCTTGTGCTCGAGCGGTCATTGTGAATTCTCAGTACTTTTGCAGGTCTGCAAAACTACTGGGAAGTGGTATTCTTCGCTCGAGCGAAGCTTCTTGCGCTCGAGCAGCCTTTATTGAGCTCGACCGTTAGCCTTCTGTCTGTAAAACTGCTGGGGGTTTGTATTTCACGCTCGAGCTGTCACATCTTTTGTGTCTTACGCTCGAGCGTCACTTCTTGTGCTCAAGCGGTCTACGCGTATATCAGTCCGTAAAAATCACTTTTTACATCACTTTTTCATTTCTCTCTCTCTCTCTCTAAACTTCTAAAAACCCTAGATCTACACTCTTTCTCAAAAACCACCTTCTCCTCCTAAAACACCTAGATCCATTGATTTCTCTACCCTATTCCCTTTGAGAGAAAGGTAGAGCTCACTTAGAGCTTTATTTTCATCTGAACAAAGTTAAGTTTCAGTGTTGTTGAAGTTTCTTCACTCTCTCTCTCATCTTCTAAGCTTGAGGTAGGGATTCTTCACATTCTTGTATAAGTTTTACCTTAGTTCTTTGTTTTTTCAAGGATTATAGTGGATTGGGGGCTTTTTGTCAAAACTTAGGGTTTGAAATCAAAATGTAAAAGAAGGGTTTTCAAATGGTTTCTTGGAAAAGCTTGTGGGTATGAAATTGGGATTGATATATGTTAAAATGAGGTATTTTCTACATTGAAATTGATTTTCAAAGAGAAAGAGATCTTGCTCTAAAATGTGAATGTTTCGAGATTGTAAAGAGAAAATGGAATTGATGTTGAGAATTATGAAATTGAAATAATGTTGATAATGATGGTGGAGTTAGATATATATTATCACTCCCAACTTGAGATTTTGGAAAAGTGTATTTTTAATGAAATTTATTTATCTGTTTAGAGATATCTGTTTTGGGCTATCAGTGGAGGATAGCTACGAGTGTTGTAGAAAAAACATGAGAATTAGGTGAACTAAAACTAATTTCTCATCCATGTGCATTGAACATTGTTGCTCATTTACTACATTGAAAATGTATATGATTTTGAGAAAAAAGGAGTGAACGTGGGAAAGAGGTGTGTATCACCAAATCAAGTTGGCACGTGTTTCCAGTGTGAAAGTTTCAAAAAATGCGCGTATACATGGGTGCCGGTTCCCACGAACAAAATATCCGTAAAATGGCAATAGTAGTACCTGTATAGGCTACGTTTACATGGGTGTCGTTCGACGGTTTCCTGCGGACGAAATATTCGTGAAAGGTTGTACTGGTTTGAGATTTCCCTATGTTTTTCTATTGTAAAGGACATGATTTTGAGAATTGTGATATAAACCTGGCATAGCACGACTTTTGAAAAAGGATATAAATGTTTTGGCACTGGCATTTCATATACATAAAACCTTATGACTTTGTTAAGATTTATACATTGTGTTTTAACATTTCTACTGGGTTTTGGCTCACCCTATGCGGGAAAACCATTTTCAAGTACTGGTGATATACCTCCACCAAGGACTTAGCTTGGGAGGATTGTGGAGCTGAAGGCTCAGTGTTGTTGTTTTGTATTTAATTTCGTAAAAGCCAAGGGCTTTTTCTGTATTAAGCTTAAGACTCACTTTTGATATACCTAAGTATTGACTTGGAAAGATGTAAGCCTTTAGGGCATATGATTATCTATTTAACTTTCATTTCTTTTTACTATCTGGTAACACATACTGTAGATTCAGGATGTGCTGTTTATGAATGTATATTGCATGTGTCACCTTTTGTATATCAAACTCTGATTAGTGAAAGCTTATCAATTCATTTACGTTGCTATTTATTGGTTGTCATGAGATGGGTATATTGTGTTTATTTTGGAATGTTATAGATTATTAATGTGGAGATTGTTAGTGAGGGGATTAAGTAAAAGTGTGTTTATTTTGATGATAGTACGGGAGATGATTAGTGATGGGATTGTTAAATTATTTTTATATAAAATAAATAAATAAATTATTTTTATATTAAAAAAACTAAAACAAATATTAAAACAAACAGGTGCACTTGGTACAAAAAAAAAATTATATAAAATAGACTCAATCCTCTCATTATTTTTCTAATCCCGCCCAAAATCCAGCCAAGCTAATCCCTCTACTGAGGGCGATTACTAAGTCTCTTGCACTATCAATACGCTCTCCTATTTCACTGCCAAACATGCTGTGGGTGGGACCCATAACCAAGATAGTTCAATCCGGTCACTCAAGTTGCGAAACAAACATGGCCGAAGCAAATATCAAAGATTGTATTTATAATATTTTAAATAGAGAAAATCATATGATAAGTGTAAAGTATTTGGCCTATGGAAAAGGAAAAAAAGTAATGTTAGGGATCATAAAAAATATATATTATGAAATGCTTTACAAAGATTTTTCATCTTTGAATTACACATATAATAAAACATCACACACTAATCAAATAATGAAAAAATTTCATACTCATTTCATGATCCCTAATATTACTGAAGAGAAAAATAAAAGTTAATCATCATGTGCCTTTGCTAGTAAGGTTTTATTGTTTCAGTTTTTAACTCATTTAAGGCAATTGCAATTCTATCTGACCTTCAGTATGGTGTATAATTTGCACTATTATGGGACTCTTGTAGAATTTTTATCGATCGATATAGAAAGCCATAGTCGCAAGATTAATAAGTCTGAGTATGTCATGGAATAGATCAAAAATGAGATATAGATGTCTCATAAAAGGTAGGTCTCACATCAGGTGGATCTCTTACGCTCAAGGATGAATCTAGAATTATCAATATGAAAGTGTGGAAATTTATTTAGAGGTATAAATCCTTATTATTTAATTATTTTAAATTTCCGAACCTAATATATGATATTTTTCAAATTTTTAGGAATGCGGTCGCCACCCTCCGAACCCCCCTTAGATCCATTCTTGGGACTACAGTTAACCTCTTGATTTTCCAACACTGTTAATTTCAGCGGACCACCTTCAACAATTGACTGGCACTAAAGTCATTCTTTTAATTTGATCGTGACACTATAAAATATTTTTAATTTTTAGTTTATAATATTTTTAAATATTTTATATTAAAACAATTAATAAACTAATATATTAAATAAACAAAGCATATTGAATTTGTGTATAAAACAACTAGCATGATATCCGTGCTATGTACAGTCTTCAATAAATACACAAAAAATAATTTAAAATTAAATAGTAAAAATATTAAATATATTATAATGGTTTTGCATAAAGTAATTCTATTATATTTTTTTTATCAAGTCTACATTTCTGATTTTTATTATTTTTTCTTTTTCTTTCATTAATGGTGTCACAGATTGGCCATATTCAATCCCATTTTTAGTTGTTCTAAACCATACGCACTTCAACTTCTCTTACCTGATCAAACTTTAACTCAACTAGCTACCTTCACCTTGGTTATCCTAACTTAGTCGATACCCTTTGTAAAAATATTATATTTGATTATAAATCTTATTCTTACTACTAAAATCAGTATATTCAGGTTTTATTTGGAAAATGATATATTTAATTAAAAAGTCAAAGAGTCACTAAAAAAAGGACAACATTTTTTTTACTTTTTTACACATTTTTTTTCTTCTAAAAAGTCACTAAAAAATCGAGTAAATTGATGATAAATCCAAACTAAGCTTAAAAGTCACATTATTATTATTATTATTATTATTTACGTTTTTACACTCTTTTTTTTCTTCTAATAAGCTTCAAATTTAAAATTGTGATTGAAAAAGAATTTCAATTTTTTTTTATTTGTCCACGCTTTCCAATGGCTAAGGTTAATAAAATAAATTAGCAAAATCAAATCTGGTGGTTAAAT